CTCAAGTTTCACGGCTCAGTCAGAAAATATAAACAAGAAGAAAGGGCAACGATTCATGCAAAAGCAATAATGCTTTTTAAAAATACATCCAATAAAAAAAAAAAAAATAGAAGATGGAGAAGATAAAAAAAAAAAAAAGTCTTGGCTAGCTGGCTGGCCATTAACCCTTCGTAGTTGAATCAAAGCTTCATATCCTAGAGTAAACGTTTAATTTCAGTTCGCGCCATAGCAACAAACAACATTTTTCTTAGTTCCTTCCCAGTGTTCCATCCGCCGCCTATGAATGGAATATGGTCAGGTTGAACCACGTCGACATGGCATGAATACATATTTTCAATTGGATGAAAAAGCGATTTTCTATCGCGGTGGCCAACAATAGCATCCATGTCAGACGTTGGAGTCCAACTTTAGATGCGCTTTTTTAAACTCTACCGTCGCTGGAAGAAATAATTAAGCGGCTTTTGAAATTAGCGTCGAAAAAGGGAATGCAGAAGGCTGGAGGCGCAAGAGGTTGATATTGACTTGAACCTAGTCAATAGTCAAAGCCAAGCAATACAGATGCTAATTTCATCATAAATAGTGTATCAAAAGTATGAAGCTGTGAAGTCAGCAGTTTATGTTAAATGCTAATGCAAGCAATGTAAAAAAAAATTTTACTCAGTAACGAAGTAAACTTCAATGTCGTGCAAGATATCCCGTCTCATGACATTGGCTTGAGCTGACGATAGTTGAAGGTCATAATTATTTTTTATAGTTTACTATTTTATTTGCCTTGGACTTGCTTTTAAGATTGGCTTTCACCTTCTCTCCTTTTTCATTTTTTCCCGCTCGCACTCTACCCCTGACGATCACTTTTGACAAGTCAAAAAAAAACCATGCAATCCGAAGTTGTCTCCAAGTCAGTGAGGAATCGGCCATCTCACCTGTCACTTGAATCAAGAACACCCATTGCCGAAGACTCCATCCTGTCCCCACGGACTCCCAAATCCATCCATAAACTATCCCTCAGCCGGCGCTCCTCTAACATCAACGATGCGTTAAGTGAACTCCATCTTCAACGAACGCCGGTTTCGTCCAATGCCAATACGCCAACCTCGGAACACACCCAGTACTTTCCCGACCCACCGCAGCAGCCTGTGACAAGGTATCGTTCTCCCTCCATTGGCAGTACCACATCGTTCTCGTCTCGCGCAGCATTTTCCGCCAATTTCGATGTGCATACCGTGTACAAAGTCAAGACGTCGAAAAGCAGCAAGAAACTTGACAGCTTTTTTGGCGAACAAGCTCCTATGGACATCTGTGTTCAGGAAATTAGAAAGGAGGGTTTAAAGGCCATGTTGCAAAGCAAGGTCCCATTATGTTTTCTGTTGTATCATCTGTTGGATGAATACAGTAGTGAGAATCTGGTAAGGCAGCCGAAACGACCATCACTGAGGGGTTCATTGACATTTGCATCGTCTCACCCCTTGTAAACCTCCAGTTCTTTTTTGTAGAGGTTGAGCAATACGAGGGGTTCTCATACATCAGCAAGGCGCAACAATTGGCCACCGCCCAACACATCTATGAAACATACCTAAGTAGGAATAGTCACTTTGAGGTCAACTTGGACGATAAGGTCATTCGGACGGTGACCACCGCTATCCAAGACGAGCAACTGAATGGATGTTTCGTAAGTGCAAAACGTGCTGTGTTTGCATTATTGGATGGTAGTTTTCATCGCTTCATGAATGGTCCGACTTGGGATGCCATGGTTGCCACATGCGGTAAGTTCTGAACCGTATAATTTATCATGATGCGATTAATATGCATGACATCCTAATGCCCTTCACTTTTTTATTTTTGCCGGCCCGTCCAAATTATTAATCATAGGAGAGCTGACTACACATTACAGCACTGAAGCTCGCAACATTGCCGTCAATTTACTACTTCAATATCTTGAACGACAACACAATCTCTTGTATACCAACCCGCATGTTACAGTGCCAAATACGTCTCGCCGTCGCCATGAGTTATTGAAATCCATGATTCACGAATTCTCACGACAACTTCTGGATGTTCAATTTTCCTATCACCAACGGGACATAACCACCGATGATACCCTCAAATTGCGTGCAGGAAGTCCCATGAGCGACGGAGATAACAGTGGCTCGGACGGAGACAAGTACAAACGCCCACGTAGCAAAAGCGTAATCAACGTTAAGAAGGGCAGGGAAAGAGGATTTGATCTTTTCGGGAAGAAACCAGGAAAAAGTACTAGAGTATAGGGTGTTGCACCCTACGACTCCATGCCATTTCTTTGTATATATATTATGCCTAAATATTCCCTTTCTGTAAGCAACTATGTGATAGAGTATTGAATAAAATCCTTCGATGGACCCACAAAGAGTTCCCAAAAACCCGAGCCCCTTCACACACAAACGTTGAGTTACGCTGAGTCTGCTGATTTGAGTGTGAAATATGCCTACTCGTGGGTTATTACCATACTCGACATTGGGAATTGGAAGAAAACATCCAGGGAAAAGTCATGAAATGAGATCGTCCCGTTTTGTATCCCCCTGCCAATAAATGGGCCGACCGAGGGACCGGCTGGTGGCGCTCAATGGGATGTGAAATTGCTCCCAACCCATCCGAGGGTGTACCAAACGGATCGACCACCCCATCTTGGTTCCATGGAATGCATGATACGATATCCTCCGTGGCTGTACGAGAGGTGATACACACAGACGATTTAATATGAAAGGGAGGTAATATTTATTATTGGGCGGGCGGGAAATTCTTAATAGGATATACACTGAGGTGAATTACTTGGACAACACATACAAATGAAAATTCTTTTTTTTTTCTCCATCTTATTGGTTACATATATTTCATTTGCGCTGCCTCCATTGTTTCCTTATCCTGGGTTTCTACGGTGATGAACAATCGCTGAAGCAAAAGTGTGAATAGTGGCATCGGCTTGTTCACAATTTATAAAAAAAATGTATGCCCCTTACCACAAAGTATAAGAAATCTATAGAGTCGAATTGGAACTGGACGTGGTCGTTTCCTTCCTCGTTCCATTCTCTTTCTAGTTTCCTCAATTTTTTTAGGCCCTGCAGGGACCATTTTATGTTAGATGATCGAAGCGGGTGAAACTTGTATTTTTTCAAAATGGTACTTACAATCCATGCCCTAATTCTCATAGTAACAATTAGAACAAAGAAAACAAGAGCAAAGGCAAAGACCCAAGCGAAATAGACCGTCTTCCAAACATACAGAGTTCGGATGACAATGATGAAAATGATCAATAATATGAATAATAGGGTAAGCAGCATTTTGGGATATCGGTTAAACATGTAGCGTCGGAGTATTTGATTGGATGCCTGTAAGTGGTCTCGATACAGATCTTCGCTATACTGTAGGTGAGGGATCATTAAATTGTGGTCTCGCCAATACCATCCATTGCCATAGTACTTACCAACCCCTTCATCTCTGGAGGCATTTCTTCATGCATGACAGGTGATTTACTCCACGGCCAAGAAGGCCACTGCTTGTCTGCATGGCCTACGTAATGTACGGAAATGACAGTGCGGAGTATAACTTTGCCGTCCTGGTTATGAGTGCGTTCGACGTTTCGAACCGTGCGAGCGTCGAGCACTTCAGATTCATCCTGAAACACCATCTTGACTGTATCGACGACTGTGTGTGCCTTTTTGGAGGGTTGTTCCAGAAGACTTCCCGGCCTGCTTCGACTTATGGCCGGTGGTCGATCGTGGAGCTGGGAGGATGATCTAGGGGCATTCTGCGCAGTGGATGACAAGTCAGACTTTGACATACAGGCGATAAACAAGAGAACGAAGAGTGGGAGGCCAAGATAATTTTCTTGGAAAGAGATCAAAGTGACTTCATCATCACAGGACTTCCTCTGCCAAATTTGGATAATTCTTTCTTTTGGCGAGCGAAAACGATGTCTCGCCAAATTACAGCAAGACGCTTGCAATAAAGTAAAACCAGCTCGTCGTATTTCAGTTCATGCAAAATTACGCCTATATAAACCCTCCCCAGAATAATCAGCTTCTTTATTTCTGATTTCTCTCATTTTTATTCGAAATGCGCTTCAACACCTTGGTCCTTCTCTTTGCTGCAGTCATCCTCTTTACCGTAGGCAATGCACAAGGTAACGTGCTGCGAAAATGCATAGGTAAAATCTAGCCTAGATATTAACTTTCATTCCTAAAGTGACCTCCGTCATCTCTGTCATCACTGGTTCTCCCAGTGGCGTCAGAAGCAAGGTCAGCTCTGTCATCCACCCCAGCAGCAAATCTGGTTCTAGCGCGATTTCCTCTGCTTCAGCTACCTCGGGCACTACCTCTGCCACCTCTGCCACCACTGGAGCTACCTCCGGTACAGCTACTAGCACTGGTACCCCCGCCTCAAGCGCTGCTGCCACTACTGACGTCTCTCAAACCGTCATGTTGCAATTGGCTGGTCTTTTGACTATCTTTGCTGTCAGCTTCGGCATGATGCTTGTCTAAGCCGACGCACTTTTACATATTGTAAATTTCCTTGCTACAAATCTCGCCGAATTTTTTTTGAAAATAAAATAAAACAACATGTTTGCCTATAATGATCCCGCCATTTTGTTATAACAATGATCATCAAGTTGTTTATGCATAAAAGATAATTCATTAATTAAAACCCTGATAGTGAACCCTGTACATGCTTTTTTTTTTCTCTTCCATGGCTCGAGGCGGCGTTATTTTTTGCGAATACGTCAATCAATTACTTGCTGGATCATACTCTACTTTAACACCATGTGGCCAAGTTTCATGGAAAAAAAGACCTGAAACACAACAGATAAAATTTGGGTCTGGCAGTGTCTCAGATCAATCACTTCCGACGGTTGATGGTGTTCTTCCTTTCCATTCGTTGCGTTTATGAACGTTTCAGTTCCTCATCCCTTTGACTTTTTACAGTTTGGTTCATTTCGGCTTGTTTTACTTTACTAGCTAATTTTTTTTTTATTTTTTTTCTTCACAATCACTTTTTTTTCTTGTGATTCCTAAAATCCTCTCCACTCATTTGCACCCCGGTAAAGAAATGAAAACAACTTGGTTACTACTTCTTGCAGTCGCTGCACTGCAAGCATCTGGTCAAAGAGTGACTACCACAACAGACGATGGAGATCCTACTACCGTTGCTTCAACTACAACTTCTTCACCTACCAGTACCACTGCATCATCAATTCCTACTACCACCACAACATCTCCAACCACAACATCATCTCCTACTACAACATCACCCACTACAACATCACCCACTACCACTTCGTCCACTACCACTTCGTCCACGCCCACAACATCGTCGACGACGACTTCACCTACCACCACCAGCCCAACATCGACGTCAACAAGTGCAAGTACATCTTCATCGCACACCACGGCCACTAGCAGTACGTCTACAGTGGCCGTTCCAACACCATCACTTCACAACAATGCCACTACGAGCGACCCCTTATCAGGCGGAGCTATAGCTGGTATCGTCATTGGAAGTGTGTTCGGTGTGGCAGCCATTGCCTGCCTTGTGTTCTGTTGTGTGAAGAAACGTCGCAAGCACTATGAAGATGAGAAGTTTGTGAAGTCGTCGGAATACGATGACAGTACGCCGTACGGGATGCAAGAGGTTTCCGATGCCGCACCAGTTACGGCTTTCGCTGCGGATGGAGCATACGATCACCAACAGAATTACCAGTACATGAATGCAGCAGGCGATCCTTGGGCTCAGCAAGGCTTTGCCAGACAGCGCACCATCCGGAACCCTGCATACGGTTACCACCATCAGCAGCAACCTGGTCAAGTCCAATACAGCAATCCCAACATGCAAGACACGGGCTACATTGGCCATCCCTCGGAAAAGTACGAGGATCCATCGTCGTACCATAATCCCAACAGTTTTGCCGGCTCTCAGCCCTCTGCCGCTGGTATGGCGGCTGTACAATATGAGCGTGGTTTTGAGAATCCTCAGCAGCGCCTTCAAAACCCTGATCAATACGATGACCATTATTATGAAACTCCACGTATCGCTCCCAACGGTGACATGTACTCGGATCATCTCCATACCGCGGATAATTCAATGGTGTATGCCCCGGGAAGTGGTTCTACTGCCAGTCCCGAAAGAAGAACTCCCTCGCCTGAATCCCAAGTACCTGCTCCGCGCACGTACGATTTGGGTAGCCAGCAACTGCCACCCCCGCACGGTCTCGACCGTAACTGGGATCTCTACAATTATGCATCTTATACTCCTTCGAGAAACGATCAAAGGGATACCTAGTGGCCCACCCGTCTATAGAGAATATATTACCAACGCATATGTATTTGTATTTTGCATAACACTGTTGTATTTCTTCCTTTTCTCTCTCTCATTGTTCTTTCCTTTTTCCATTTATTCCCTGGTCATGCATGACATGTGGTTGTTTTTAACTGCAAGTCGGCGCTTATATGCGATCATTGACGACTACATCCAAAAAGTTTTCAAGAAATAAATTATAGCAGCATACTTATATATAAAGGCTAGCCAAAATGGATACATATGTACAAAAGTTGGGGGGGGGATGATGAGTGGGGTCAGTAAATTTGTTCAAGGGCGTTGGAGCCAATGATCAGGTTTTGAGAAACGTAGGTCCATGACGAAGGGTCGAAAATAATACACGGGACATAGTCGGATGAGGTGTCGGGAGGGGCCAAGCCTGATTTGAGGGTAAGCCATGCAAACAGTTCAGTGTGGTATCGCCAATTGCGTTGATATCTACCAGGACAATCAGTACGCTGCCTGCAGCACATAAAACTTTCGTCACTTCACTTACAATTCCATAGCGGCGGCATTTTGCATCATATCGCCAGGTAGGGAGTAAAACATGTAGAACAAGGTTTCGTTCGAGAACGTGGACATTTGTTGAACAATGAGGTTGGGTGAAGGCACCGGAACCGTGTTGTAGTGGGCCGGGACGTCAGGGATATGCGGATGGTCCGCCCATGGCGAATAAAATTGCTCAGAAAGCAAGCTATGGTAGGTAGGTAGGTAAGAGAACAGGGCGTAGCTTAGCAGGACCCGACCAGACCAAGAACAAACCCTCCCCCCCCCCAATGATATGCCCCAGCATACATGTATCGATGAGGTCACGTAAGCTCCTTCCCTATCATGAAATAGCCATCTTACCTTGTTGAATCCAAGTCTAGCCCTAGGCTCGATGGATCACATCCAACCGTCATCACCAAAAGATCACTAGGCGAGTCATCGGCAGTAATGGCTAATAACCCTCGTAGTCCATAAGGGCCAGCAACATCCTCAGAATACATATTCGAAGAAGCCGACCGAACCTCCGCTGAATACATGTCTTGATCCGCCAAGCCGGGTGTTAAACGGTCCAATGCGTCCATATCATGTAATAAAATGGATTCATTTTGAGCGTCGGATAGATTGGTAGTGGACAGCCACTGCACAATGTCAATCCCTGGAATTTCAGGTTAACCGGTCAACTTTTCCTGCAAATACCCTCTACCAGATCATACGCCTCCATACCTTCCGGCTTGCCATACATTGGCAATTTCATATCCAGGGCATTTTTGTTGGCAAACTTAGGCGTCGACCCAGGCGATGGTAAGCCTAGAGAAGACATTAGCTGATTGGCGCGAGCAAGTCCATAGCCAGGAGAGCTCTTTCGTCTGCCAGTATCGAACCCTACAACACACGATACATACATTAGAAGTGATCAGGAGGAAAACCGGCCGGCCATCCAAACTTACCGTCTCGTATGGCGTTGGGCGTGTAGCGACTGGCAATATTTGGCCGAGAACTCGTTACCAACGGACCGCCTCGACTGCCAAGCATAGTAAAGTCTTGGAAGGCAGTGGAAGGCGGACTATTGTTACTTGACGGAGATGACGAGAGGGACGCAGAGGACAGCATATGAGTTAGGGCTAACATGGTTTCGCCGATGGATGGCCGAAAGGAAATCAAAAGGGATGAAGGCTGATCTACAGTTGAGGCCGTATCTGGTAAGAGAACAGACCGCGTGGTTCCCCCGTAGAAGGTCAGGCAGGGTAAGGTTGTGTCCACCCAAGGTATCACAAGGACTTTTAAAATTCCAAAAGATCACGCAAGAGGTTTCAATGATACACTTCTTTATGCAAGACACACACCACGTTGATGATAAAAGAATGAAGAATATATTTTATATGTGATGTGAGAGGAAAAATAAAATTGTAAAACTACGAAAATACAGCGTGGTTGATAAGAAATGCAAAACTTAGATCTTGACACCAGTAAATTCAGCCCAGGTAACAACTTCACTGGGGATTTCACCAGTGGGTTGATCAACACGCTTCTGAACACAAGAGTCAATGAACAGACGACCGACCTTGGCATCGTTGACAAGAGGAATACCGAAATCAACAGCAGCACGACGGCAGATGTAACCTTCGTTAAATCGATCAGCAGCACGGAGCTTGGCAAGGTGGAAGACGAAATCAATGTTGTTGTCCTTGAACAAGTCTTGCAATTCACGCTTGTTCTCAGCCTTTTCAGCTACAGGCAAAGTCTTGCTGGGAACACCAACAGATTGGAGGAAAGCAGTATCGGCATCGGTAGGAGTGAAGATTTCATGACCAAGTTCGTTGTGAAGCTTCTTAGCAATGTATTCGTAATCTTGCTTGTTGGTCACATCATCACCACCAATCAAAACACCAGCTCCACGTTGAGGAATACGGAAGTTTTGAGTGGATTGAATGGAGGCCCAGTAAGCTTCATTCTTATCTTTACCAAAGCAGGCAACTTCACCAGTGGAAGCCATCTCGACGCCAAGGAAAGGATCAGCACCTTGCAGACGAGTCCATGAGAACTGAGGAACCTTGATAGCAGTGTAGTCGTAATCCTTGTTCATCAAATCAACGGGTTCAGGGACATCCTTGTCAGCAAGAGCCTTGGTAGCAACTTCAATGAAGTTCTTGCCCAAAACCTTGGAAACGAAGGGGAAGGAACGAGAAGCACGCAAGTTACATTCGATGACCTTCAAAGCAGAGGGCTGCTCGGGAAGTTCTTGTTGAATGATTTGCATGTTGAAGGGACCGGTGATTTGGAAAGCGTTGGCAACCTTGTCAGTGATTTCCTTGAGTCTGTCCTTGGTCTCCTTGGTGATATCACGAGAAGGCAAGACCAAAGTAGCATCACCAGAGTGGACACCAGCTTCTTCAACGTGCTCAGAGATGGCGTGGATGAGAACCTTGCCCTTGTGAGCAACAGCATCGACATCGATTTCCTTGGCACCTTGGATGAACTTGGTGATGACAACAGGGTGAAGAGGAGAGACATCAGCAGCTTGAGTCAAGTTTTGCTTGAGAGCTTCAGGAGTGTAGGCAACGTTCATGGCAGCACCAGACAAGACATATGAGGGACGAACCAAAACGGGATAACCGACGTTGTCAGCGAAGTTGTAAGCATCTTCGACACTGGTCAATTCCTTCCAAGAAGGTTGGTCAACATTGATCTTGTCAAGCATCTGAGAGAATTGGAAACGATCTTCAGCAGCGTCAATCATCAAGGGAGAGGTACCGAGGACATTGGCATTGTTCTCGTGAAGCTTGAGAGCAATGTTTTGAGGCAATTGACCACCGACACTGACAACGACACCCTTGGCAGTTTCTGTCTCGTAGATATCCATGACACGTTCGAAGCTGAGTTCCTCAAAGTACAAACGATCACATTCATCGAAATCAGTGGAAACGGTTTCGGGATTGTAGTTGATCATAACCGTCTTTTCACCAAGGTCACGGAGGGCACGAATGCAAGATACACCACACCAATCGAATTCGACAGAGGATCCAATACGGTAGACACCGGAACCAAGAACAATGGTACCCTTATCATCAAAGGTGATATCGTTGCTAGTAGCATTGTAAGTGGTGTAGAGATAGTTGGTGTGAGCAGGGAACTCAGCAGCCAAGGTATCAATACGCTTAACGAAGGGGGTGATGCCAGCCTGCTTACGAGTGTTACGAACGGTCAACTCATTGGAACCAGTAAGACGAGCGATCTGGTTATCAGAGAAGCCAGTCTTCTTGGCCAAATGCAAAAGTCCAGTAGGAAGGGCAGCGGAACCGTTCTTGTAGGTAGCCAATTCATGGTTGACATTGGCAATGTTTTGAAGCTTGTGCAAGAACCACTTGTCAATCTTGGTCAAGTTGTGGAGATGATCAACGTTGTACTTGGCACGAACAGCAGGGTCTTCGTTCAGCATGACTTCACCGAGGGCAAAGATACGACGGTCAGTAGGGTCAGACAAGACATCATCGACATCATCAAACTTGGCAGGAAGTTGTTGGAAACCTTGCCAGTTGGGATCGACCTGACGAATGGCCTTTTGCAAGGATTCTTCAAAGGTTCTACCGATAGCCATAACTTCACCAACCGACTTCATGGAAGAGCCGACGTGACGATCAACATATTGGAACTTGGACAAATCCCAACGGGGGATCTTGGTGACAATGTAATCAAGGGAAGGTTCGAAGCAAGCAGTGGTGGTCTTGGTGACAGCATTCTTAAGAGAGGGAAGAGTGTGACCGAGAGCAATCTTGGCGGCAACGAAGGCAAGGGGATAACCAGTGGCCTTAGAAGCCAAAGCAGATGAACGAGAAAGACGAGCATTGACTTCAATGACCTTGTACTCCAAGCTGTGGGGGTTCAAGGCATACTGAACGTTACATTCACCAACCACACCAAGATGACGAATGATCTTGATGGCAGCGGTACGGAGCATGTGATACTCTTCATCGGACAAAGTCTGAGAAGGAGCAACGACAATGGAGTCACCGGTGTGGATACCCAAAGGATCAAAGTTCTCCATGTTACAAACAGTGATACAGTTGTTGGCAGCATCACGAACAACTTCGTATTCAACTTCCTTCCATCCCTTCATGGACTTCTCGACCAAAATTTGGTTGCTGAGAGACAAGGACTTGGTAGCCAAAGAACGGAGTTCCTGTTCGTTGTTGGCAAAACCAGAACCGAGACCACCCAAGGAGAAAGCAGATCGGACAATGACGGGATATCCGATTTCATCAGCGGCCTGAAGGGCGTTATCAACGGTTTCGACAGCAGTGGATTGAGCGCAGGGAATGTCAATCTCCTTGAGAGCTTGAGCGAAAAGATCTCTGTCCTCGGAAGTGAGGAGAGTCTTGATAGGAGTACCAAGGACCTTGACGTTAAGACGATCCAAGACACCCATACGGTCAAGTTGGATACCACAGTTCAAGGCGGTTTGACCACCGAAAGTCAACAAAATACCATCGGGCTTTTCACGTTCCAAGATGTGAACCAAGTACTCTGGAGTGACGGGCAAAAAGTAAACCGAGTCAGCAAGCGAGTGAGAGGTTTGGATGGTAGCGATGTTGGGGTTGATAAGGACAGTTTCGACACCGGATTCACGCAAAGCTTTGATGGCTTGAGAACCTGTAGAAGACAAGACAGTCACAGTTAGCCAAATGGAAAAAAAAATTTAGATGGTGGTGGTTGATAAAATAGATGCGCCTATCAACTTACCGGAATAATCGAATTCACCAGCTTGACCAATACTGAGACCGCCGGATCCGACAACGAGGACCTTCTTTACGTCAACCAAAGGGACGTGATCGAGAATCTCCTCAGACACCTGTTGGGCGGCACCATCACGAGATTGTTTCTCGTTAGGCAACACAACGCTGGCGACGCGCGATGAAGTGGAGAAGAAAGCTGCTCTGTTCTGCTTCAAGGGGCTGAACTGGAAAGCTTGAGCTGAGGCCACGTAAGATGGTCTAGCTTTGGGTGTAGCACGCGAGGAAGTGCTTAAAGCACGAGCCGAGAGACGGGCTGCGGGAGTAGGGAGTCCACGATGAACGCGAGAGTATACTTGTTTATACATTTTAATAAGTGGTTGTTAACGATTTCAAAAGATTCACTTGATGAGAATGAAGTTGATGTAGCAAGGATCAATAGAGAGAAGACCGGCGGTGATCAAGTAATAACCAGAGTTCATAGAAAGAGGAGCTGGTCGATAAACAGATGATAGAGTGTGGATAAAAAGTGTATTTCTTTTTACCACACCAGAAGAAAAGATAAAGAACAAGAAGTTTAGAAGCAGACGAGATGTTGGCCGCTAACTGTTCCTACTTATATTTGACAGCAAAAAAAAAAAAAAATTTGTTGAAAATTTGAGTGCAGCCAATGACTCATTCAGACCTGTTTTCACCATCAGATTGAGATTTGACTCGCGCTACTCACTACTGGGTTCGAATCATCGACCATCGGTCGAATCGATGTAACCTGCTTCTCGCGTGGTTGACGCCATTATCTTGGAGGATTGTGATCTTGATAATCATCCTACCGAGTATCCAGTACAACCTTGCACAGATCATCGCGGTGAGCACTCGCGAGCGACTCGACCCATAGCATCCTCAGGGCCGATTAAAATTATGGAATCCGAGCGTTGCGAAAGTTGGAGCAGCGGGCGATCAAGCAAATCGTTACCGTCACTGTTTGCTCTGTGTTGCCTCTTACTGCCGCGGATGCATTCCGAAAAACTGTCAACGATATTGTGGTCTACGAATAGTATTTGCACTGGTGAAGCGAGAACTCCTATCTGACGTCACAAGTGAAAGTCTGGCCCGAAGTCTCAGTTAATTAAAAAAGCTGAAGCATTAGTGCCAGCGGAGAGGTCAGAAATAGGTGCTCACGCCCTTGAGACCGCCGACCAGCCAGCCAGCCCGGTACGAATCATGTTCCACTTTTTCTGGCGGTGGATGAAAAACCATCCCAAATTTGTGCCCGGCACTCCTTACAGATAGATATACACCTCTCCTTGAAGCCTCCTTTTCATAACCGAGATTCGTAAATGTGTATAAACAGCACTACGCCATTTTTAACTGCCGCACGCCATAGTACCTGCAATATTTGCACATAACGTGTTGCGTATCAAAAGGAAAGAAAGCCATAGAAACATATCACATTTGCAACAACCCACCACCAATGAAAAACTCGGCTGGACAGTGTAGACTGTTTACAATTGGTGTTTTTATAACGCAATGTACGTGCACGGAAAATGGAATACAAATTAAGAGCTATCGAAAATAAGCAATCTGCTCGAGAAGCAAAATAAGGATAAGATAAACATGATAAATCGATACTTGACTTCAGAATCTAAATACCACACTGCATATGTCAGAGTTTCCACGACTACTCTAATTTCTTTGGCGAATTTGATACTACATCATCGTCATGAACTTCAACAACCGTATCGTTGTGTTGAACGGCAGTAGCGTCATTTTTCCCTTCCGTTTCGATTATTTCCGGGTGGGATTCCGATGTCACCGCATGTTCGAGCTTGTCCGTTCGAAGCGTACTATGCTTGATGAAGAGGGAAGAAATCACACCGACACCAGCAAGGCCAGCCATGACATACCACAAAAGTTGCAACGCCGCCACATAGCAGTCGATGGTTACTTGGAAGTACTCAGAGGGAAGACCGTTTCGGATATAGAGCGAGCTGTCGATGACGTTGTTGGCGATCTCAGTAGGCATGTGAAGCGGTAAAGATGTCTTCAAGGAAGAATTGATGATGGCAGATGCAATAGCTACACCTAACGCTCCACCCAAAATACGAGCAAAACTGCACAGACCGGTAACAACTGCAATGTCTTTCGGGTCCGCCGAAGCTTGAATGCCAATGAGCGCCGATCCAAATAGCGAACCAATACCTACGGATACAAATTCATATTCGTTTCAATGCGTACGTACATTGTGTCCACCCGTTAAACTTACCAATGCCACAAATAGACGTTATCCCGTACACCAGTGACCAAGAGCTGGTGTAATCAAAAAGGCTAAGCAATCCAAGACCAATGCAAAGGGCTGTGATTCCAAAATGCATACTGAAAAAAGTCCAATGATAATGCCATTAATTACATTGTGCCGTCCAAAAGCCAGTCTAGGTAGTTTCTAGGGGACATACAATGGTTTCCACTGACCGAAATGAGAAATAATCCATCCTATCAAGGTAGACATGAACGGAATCGTGAGCTGCATAGGGAACAGTCGTATACCAGATTGAGTTGCCGAGTCACCACGAACTGCTTGAAAGTATACAGGCTGATAGAAGCCGATGGCAAAGAACCCACACCCAAAAAAAAAGTTAGTCACCATGATGGCGACAACCGATTGATTCTTAAACAAGTGCGGGGGCATGAGAGGCTCTTTAGCATAGCGAGATTCCACCCAACATAGAGCAACTATAAAGATGCATGTGAACACCAAAGGCACAATCACGGCTGGTGAACTCCATGGGAACGCTTGGCCACCAAAGTTCATAGCAAGTAAGAACAATGTTGCGGACGACAAAACAAGTATGGTCCCAAAATAATCGACTCGCTTTAACTTTTCCATGGTGGTGCCTGCAGGTGCTGGAGAGCGCAAGAAAAAGACAACGATGGCGATGCCTATGGCGCCTATTGGCAAGCTAAAATGTAATTAGAGAAATGAGAGTCAGTAACACTGTGAAGAATACGTAACTTAGTGAATATGTCACGCCGCATACTTCATGTAGAAACTCCATCTCCAAGTAGCATGGTCTGCAAAACTTCCTCCTACCAACGGGCCGCATATATTTGCGATCGCAAACACAGCATTGACGATGCTAAGAAGAGTCATTTTTGTTAGGCATTCGTTTTAACAATAAGTGGTAGAATTGGACCAGCTATACCCTTGATATTTTCCTCGTTGCTGAAGCGGTACCAGCTCAGAAATAATGATGAAAACCTGTCGACAGAATAATTAGTAAAAGCCAATGGAACTTTCGTAGTATACAAAACCTTACCATGGGCATAATCGCTGCGGCACCGATACCTGATATTGCCCTGCACACAATCAGCATGATCATATTCTAAAGGACCAAAGAATATTAGCTCGCAAACTTGCAACACCCCGTCACATAGCATAACTGACTCACTGTGGAGGCACCGCTGAGGAGAGATCCGAGCAAGAAGATACTTGTACCAACAAGCAGTATTGTTTTTCGACCCCATATGTCCGAAAATTTTGAGAACAAAGGTTCTGCAAGGAAAAAAAATTTGGGGTAGCAGGTAGATCGGTCAATAAAGTTTCCGAGAGACGTGTTGATGATAAGCAACCATCCAGGCAATAACCCACATGGAGCGTAAAAACGAGTACATACGAAAAGCATCAAAGGTGAGAATATAAGCCGTTGCCACCCATGCCACACTGTGCATTTGATTAAATTCTGATCCAATGATCGGCATCGTTGTCGCAACGATGGTGCTGCAAATGATCACGTTAGCTAGCCTTCCACGCCAAAATCGTTGCATCGTATGCACTGACCCATCTAATGATATAAGAAAAAGTGTAAGCTGCAGACCGACGAAGACAAGGATCCGTTTCATGGTTGTTCGTTGGGCTGGCTCATCAGGCGTAGAAACCAGGTTGGATTCTGGTTCATTAGCGTCGGGTTTGCATTTCATTCCATGGATTGAAGGCGGCTTTTTCTCATCATGATCTATGCTCGCTAACTTCTCAAGCGGATTATATGGAGCCTCCGACATTGCAAAAGACGGTAAACGAAAGACAACAAAAAATAAAAGTAAGGTTACGCTGAATATTTTATTTCGCGCCGTGAGGAATACAACGGAAATCTAAATTTATCTGTCGACTTCTGTTAGGCAAAAATAGGCCCCACCTCATCCTTTCGGTATGTGTTGGTAACAGCGTATGATTCTAGATTTGCTTCTATCATAGTTGAGCGTGCTTCACTTCTTTGGCTCAACGTCCGGCATCTCACTTTCGTGCGGTCACTTGTTGCGGCGACCCCGGCATTTCGCCCCAGCACAATTGCTATTTATACAATTCTGTCACAAAACTATGACACTACAAATTGTCAATCAACTGCACATTGTTACTTTGACAGACCGAACTATATCCTTCATTAAATAGCTTGTAGAAACAGTATATATAACACCATGGACAATAGCATTGCTTGAATCTATGCACTACTTCGGACGAGATATTTGAAGCAGGCCTAATTTGAGTTAGTACACTGGTTACAAGTGGCTTCAGGTGACAAAACAAACAACTCCAGGAATTTTCATGCGAGACTTGAACATAATGTGAGTCGTCCATTGCATTCAAGTGACTTCAGGGATATAGCTTAACGTGCATGGAGGCGATCGTCTTTGTTAACGTACAGGGCCCAAGGTAAGAATAGCATGTGGGGAGATACCGAAATAGAAAACTGTTGCAGATCAACCGACGTCTACCGTAAGTGAAAGCACTGAAGAATGATATGAATGGAAATAAAACTTGGTTCATCGATAATAGGTCATAAAACTATGGTTTTGTTCAGTCAGCGCTGTCAAATGCTGATAGCCTTACACATCAAGCCGCCTCTATATATCATGTGATCAAAAAGCACACTTGTATTGGATACATGTTACATTGGAAGCTGGAAGGAGGGACACCTTACAAAATCCATTACAAAACATAATAAATATAAAGACCATGCATGTGGTGAAGGGAAGGCGGTGATATTAGAAAAAGGCATTTTGAGGGCTAAATGGTTGTTGTTGTTGTTGTTGTTGATGTTGCTGCTGTGGTTGGCCAAAGCCAGTTGCCTGGGGTTGCATACCGCCAAAACCAGTGGATTGAGGTTGCATACCGCCAAACCCAGTAGATTGCATACCTCCAAACCCAGTGGATTGAGGTTGCATACCACCAAATCCAGTTGCTTGCGGCTGCATAGCGCCAAACCCAGTCATTTGGGGTTGTAAGTTAGCTTGCTGTTGCTTTTGCTCCTGCATCAACTCGACAAGACTCTTTTGTCCAGACTGTGGACTGCTCCAAGATTGTTGGGTTGTGTTGTTGGATTGACCAAAAGGATTGCGGCTGGCGGGTTGGCCGAAGGATGAAGCAGACGAATCATTACCCAATCCAAGAAGATCGGCTGTGTTTTTTTGCTCAGCGGGATTCGCAGGCTCCCACTTTATAGAGTTGGCATATCCAGAGCCACTGAATGAACAAACGAATTTAAATGAGCGAGCCGTCGCCATATCATTGGTTTAAAAAAACCCCCCGGTATTTTCACTTACACTGGAATACGAAGGTTGCCGGTATTACCAAAGGTATCTGATCCCTCTCTATTAACAACGAACAAGAGTCATAAAAGTTAGCCGGATTTCGCCCGTTTGATCATTTACAGTGAAGCACTTATTTACCCTGTCGACAATAGAGCATTTAATTTCGCATATTTCTGATCTGCAGCTCTAGAAGCGGGACTGCCCTGGCTTGGTGATGCCATTTGTCCAGTGGCCTTTACAGAATAGCAACTCAAGTTAATTCCGATTTTTTAACTTCATGTCACCTGTTTCATGGTACTCACATTTGGCTGCATGCCTTGACTGGCGAAAGAGGGCGTAGACATTTGTTGAGTTGTCGAAGTTTGCATTCCATACGGTGAGTTGTTAGAATCAAAGGATTGCTGTCCAAAGCTGGTGTTCTGCTGCGAGGCGAACGCTTGCTGGGGGTCATTGAAGCTATGCTGACTTCCAAACTGGTTGCTAGTTTGTCCGAATTGACCGAACGGATTGCTCGACATGCCAGTCTGTTGCGGTTGTTGAAAAGACGATTGCATGCCAGTGTACTGCTGGCTCACATCAAATTGTTGATTGGGCTGCTGGCCGAACCCAGTGACTTGAGGTTGTTGTGGCATACCAGTGAATTGTTGCTGCTGGTAAGGGTTATAAGAAGTTTGCTGATATGGATTGGTCTGTTGTTGGAATCCAGTGGCCTGGGGGAAGACGTGGTTGTTTTGAGCAGAGCCGGAGAAGGCATCAGCAAGTTCCAGTTGTCCAGTAGCTTGATTGCCTACCCACTGCTGCTGTTGTTGTTGAACATATGGGTTAGCGGATTGTGAAAAGTTACTGTCGAAGGTCTGCTGTTGAGGGAAGGAGCTAAAAGCAGTGTTGGAAGTAGTTTCTGGCTGAGGAGCGGCACTTCCTCCAAACAAAGCGTCTTCGTTCTGACGATTGATTCTTTCACGTTCTTTTGATTCCTTATCCTTGGCTTCTCTCTCACTCTCACGCAAAGCTTTGGACAGATCATCATCACCATTGCGTCTAGCTCGTTCTTCTTCTTCTGCCAACCGTTTGCTCTCTTCCAAGGCTCGTCGAAGATCCCGTTCGTCGTCCATATAACCAGGTCGTTCATAGGTTGGCGTAGAAGATTCATTTCGACGAACCTCGTCCATAATATTCTCAACGCCGGCCATTCTATCTCGCATTTGAGCTCGCTGATTTCGCTCATCACGAAGTCGGACTTCGTCGGATAGAAGATTGGTGATATCTTTGGCTTTTTGTCGTACGTTGGCTCCGACATCTTTTCCATTGTCGTCAATGTGTTGGAACTCCTTCAATGTCTTGACTACATACATATTTTCCTTTGCATAGGAGACCACGTTTTCGGATCCCACATGCAAGCAGTAGTCTAACAAAGTCAAGGACTATTTTTTGTTTTTCAAATGACAGGTTAGTATACCACATCAAGCAAGTTTCTCGAACCACACACGAGCCTACCTTGAAAACATGTCTCCAGTTTTTTCCCTTGTCATTTAAACGCTTGTCAATCATATCCATGATTTCCGTAAAATCATTACTGTAAGACCGATTGCACAGTATCGCCAGTTAGAAGCCAGAGTAAAGCGCCGAACGGAAAAGCCAAACAGGAAAATCTCACTTACTTGTTGAAAGTAGCTTGGGCAATTTCATTCATGATAGTACCGCTTGGGCCCCAAGGATCGTTGGACGTGGCCTCACGGACCTTGATCTGCATGTCGGAATAACCCTTTGCATAGTTTTTGCTAATGAGGTAATGTGAGAATGCCGTGCAAGTAACACTTTATCAAATGCATGGCCATTTCATAGAGCATGGTTGTCGGCCGTAGAACAGATGCACTTACACGCTGCGAAGAACGCCTTTGCCTGGTACGGACATTTTGGGTTTGAGAACGACACAAGAAAGAACAACGTGAACCAGAGAACTTCCACCAATGAGGTAATTGGGTGTCACAGATTGTTTCTCCGCTGGGCAATATCCGAGTTACAGAGAGGTTACAAGCAAGTACAGACTATTCTAAGCCTTCTTATAGCTGCCGTGGAGTGTGAGTGCTAAGCTTTTGATAGACTCATAAGGCTATTTGGCTTCAAAATGGTTTATTTGTGATTTACAATTTTGGTCCTGATTGAACATCCTGCGCATAAGTGAGGCAGAGAAGCACTGTTAGCCGTCATTGTGACTGTGTTTTGGACACAGCAATATCAGTGCCAGAACTTTTATCAACCAGGTCTACGGTTAGCCAGAACAGCATTACAATGGGCAAGAACGTCAATCCCGCCGATGCACATCGTAAGTCTGCCTATATACACAACGTAGAATTATTTCAACATGCTAATGAGCGCGATTACTTTGTACAGGAAAAAAGCAGAGGAAGAAGGAGATTGAAAAGGTTTGTTGAGATCATTCACTTTTCACAAGGTAGCAGTCAAGTAATGACGTTGACTAACGTCCGTGTCTCTCTTATAGAATAAAGCCAAGAGGGTGGCGGCGAGAGAAATGGCAGTGGTGAATAGGGATACAACGAAACTAGAACGGGAGATTGAGCGTTTGGAAGACTTAGGTAAAGGACAACACGGATGGCACAGTGTGTTTCATGATCAACGACTGCGTGGCTCACTTTTTATCACTGTAGCATCACAACGACAGCTGGATAAGACGGGTCAGGCTAAATTAAAGAACCTGAAAGAAGAGCTGGAAACCATCCAAAAAACAAAAGAAGCCCACGGAGTCACACCGTAAGCCTCACATCCTAAATCCAGGACCAATCAACAAAACAATATTTACATAATTTCTTTCGAATATAGGCAATCAGCGGCGAAGAGTGTAGTAGAGGAATCACGGAAGTTGGTGTTCGATCCCAAAAAGGGAGCTTTTGTGCCAGTCTCGAAGAAGAAGCTTGCCAGTGAGTATTGGGAAGCATGTAATATAATGTTTGGTGTATGTTAGCCCTTACCATGGTTTCTTTGCAGAAATGGAAGCCAAGAAGGCGAAGGCAGGACAACATCAGGGCACAGATGACTCGGAGGATGATTCTGACGATGATTCTGATGAAAGTGACAGCGGAAACGAGCTTTTGCCTGAACTGCCGGTCATCAAAGGTGAAGACATTCTTGAAGAAGAGGAAGCCAAGGCAGCAGCATCCAAAATAGAAGAAGAGGGCGACCAAGAAGTTGAAGATCACTCAGTAGACGTCGAGCCAGCACAGGAAGAAGAAGAAGAAGAAGCGGAAAATGAAGATATACCATTGCCCAACGAGGATGAAGACAGTGACATTGAGAGTATACCAATGCCTAAAGGACCTCCACCGCGAAAACCCTTTGAACGACAACTTGGCCATGGTAACTTGACCCGACCCCCTCCACCTCCACCTCCAAGACATTATCGCCCACCACCAGCCTATCGAGCGGCACCACCCCCACCTCCACGTAAGTGATTGTCGTACCTACCCCAGATTTCTTGATACACTTTTAAAAATTGACGGCGTGTGCGGGGTTTATTTTTATTGTGGGTAAAACAGGACCTCCCCATCATGGACACTTCTATGGACATGAACCAGCAGCCCCGCCCTATTATCAACAGGGACCAGCTGTCCCGGTTGCTGCTGTGCACGCTATGAGCGATGATGTCAACCCACCCACCGAGGCAGTCAGCGCGACTGTCACCATCTCGGCAGCTCCTCAAGTACGCGACCTTCAAAAGGAACTGGTGGGATTTGTGCCAGCCGCGGTCCGTAAGAAGAAATTACAGGCTGGGAAAAAAGGTACAATACCCAAGGTTGCACGACCAGCTATCAACGCTGCGCCAGATATGGATGATGACGAAGAACATCAGGAACCGGTGCAAGCCGCCATACAACTTCCCGCTACGCCAGCCAAAAGCAATTCACCTAAAGCTGGCGATGAGTATGACCGGTTTATGCGGGAGATGGAAGGTATACTTTAAATTGGAGTTCCATGCAGCCAGCGCCTTACTAGAGAAGCCAAATAATATAATAAATAAAAAATAAAAAAAATTGTCATACAGTAACACTGGTTTGTGTGAGTGCATTGTTTGTCGTTTTTTTTTTTTCCTTTGACCTTTCCCTCCATACCTCCTCAGCTGTCATCTGATTATGCGATAAAAAAACAACCACCCCCTGCCCCACTTTTTTCTCCTGAAGACGCGTGCGTTCTATAGAGTGGCTATTAATAAGTGATCATAAAAAGGGGGATTTGCAAAGGCCCGCGCTGTGTGGAGTGTTATGCATGGTAAAAAGCATGTTAAATGAAGTGAGTGAGCCACCAGCTGACATGTTATTCCATGGACTCATTTTGTTTCGTTCGTTGATGTTTATTTACCAAAAGCTGTGTGGCGTAGATTATACAATGGAAGAAGAAAAGAAAAAAAACAATATGCAGAAAAAATGTGCGGTACGGATAGCGAAACCAGAAGGAAAAAAAAACCAGCAAAGAATGAATGAATGAATGCGTGGAGTTAGTTTTTTGTTTTTCGCAACAAACAAAAACGAGGAGGGTGGAAACGAGGATGACAGGGCAGTAGGGAGGATAGGTAGGAGGAGATTGATACGAAAACGTAGAATGGGATGGGATGTATATACAAAAAATTTGTTGGGGATGGGTTATGCGGCGCAATTTTTTTTTTTTTT